CCCCCCCCCCGTAACTCCCCGCAGCTGGGGAGACCAATATCGCACAGGTTGAACCAAGGTGCACCTGATTTTGACCAGACATTTCCCCCCTCCTCCTCCTTCTCCTCCTCTTTCTTCTTATTTTTCATCCTCCTCCTCCTCTTCTTTCTTCCTTTTCTTCCTCCTCCTCCTCCTCCTCTTCTTTTTCTTCCTCCTTCTCTGCTTCTTCATCCCCCTCCTTCTTCTCTTCTTCTTCCTTCTCCTCTTCTTTTTTCTTCTTTTTTTCTTCTTCTTCTTCCTCCTCCTCCTCTTTCCTCAGCGTCTTGCTTAATCCCCACTGATTAACGAGCAGCACACAGCTGAGTGGGATGCCCCTCCCCAGCTCCCTGCAGGCAAAGTGTGTCCCCCCCAGTGCCCCCCGGCTTCGCAGCTGGGTCTGAGGAGCCGCAGCTGCATCGAGTGGGGTCACCCCCAACCTGACACTGGCCGGGATCTCCTCGGGCTTCAGGTTAATTCTCCCACAGCACCAAATCCACAGAATTTACCAGCGATTCAGGACCTGAGAGCAACCTTTGTGGTCTGTCCTCCCTCCACCCCCAGCCCTGCCCGCGGTTGATAATTCACCTCCATAAACCCAGGGCCGTTTGTGGATAAATACCCCCAGGTTGTGAGCGGTCCTCTTGGGGTGGTGGGGCAGTGTGGGGTTTATTTGGGGGGGTGGTTGAACAGAGCTATTGGACTGAGCTGGGCCGGTGTCTGTGGCTTTGAGGAGCAGCTGTAGGGACCCGTGTGCCTGTTGAGATGCAGAGGGGCTCCATCCCGCTCCGCACAGCGCTCACAGAGCGCTGTGCGGAGCGGGATGGAACCCCTCTGCATCCCCCCTGCGGCTGCTTTGGGCTGGGGGGGTCTTGTAAAGCTGAGCTCCCAACACCCTGGCTGGTGGCACCCACCCAGCACTCCCATTTGGAAGCTTTTTTCCCTGCCTCAGCTTGGCCTAGAAACAAAATCTCAGAGAAAAATCATAGCTTGTGGTTGGTTTTGGTGGGTGGTTTGTTTTGTTTTTTTTTTTTTTTTTTTTTTTTTTTTTCTTTGTAAGTGGCCCATCATGGGGGGGAAGGGGGGAGCGGGAGCCCCTGTGGGTGCTGTGGGCTGTGATTAGCCCCAAATCTGGTCTCCCGGTTCTCTCCGGTCCCGTTGCTGGGCCGGTAGCGGGAGCCAAGATATTCCCAGTGCAGCCAGGGCTGCGGGGTCTCTCTGCCTGGATGTGTCCTGGCTTTGCTGGGATTTCCCGACCGTCTGCATCCTCCCCAAGGGGGTTTGTTGTCTCACACTTGTCACCCAAAGGCTGGGATCTCCCCAAACCCCCCCTCTTTTCTGCTCTGGGGGGCTGAGGATTTCCCTGCAGCACATGGAGGCTCACGGGGATGCCCCCCCCCCAGGGCTTTAGAGGATTTGGAGTGGGTGCTCAGCACCCACCTGTGCCTGGTCCTCTTTCAGGGGTCTCAGGGCAGCCAAGACCTTTCCTAGTGAAGCTGATTGTGACACTGGTGTCCCTTGGTGTTTGTACTGGAGAGTTCAGCCAGCTGATGGGGGGGAGTGTTGTGCACTGTGCTGTGTTTGGGGAGGGATCAGGGGCGGCTGCAGGCCTCGGGCAGCCAAACCTGGTGATTGTGGGTGCCACAGCACCACCCGGGGGGTCTCACCAGCACCCAAGTCCGGCTGGACATCGCCGTGCTGTGTGTGCAGAGCAGCCTGTGGCGGTGGGCTCTGCTCCTGGCTGGTGCGGGTCATCCTCCGAGGGTGCTGGCTGTTCCCCGGGGCCCCCAGCGCCCCCCCGAGAGCATCCCCCGGCCCTCCCCGGGGCGGCGGTACCCGGGGCGTGTGTCTCTTTAATGAGGCTGGGCTTGGAGCGGCTCCGCGCTGGCACAGGAGCGAGGGATGGAGCGAGGGCGGTGAGGGAGGGAGGGAGCCGGTGCCAGAGGGAGCTGCAGCAGGGCGAGGCGGGGACGGACCGCTCACCCCCCGGTACCGCAGCCCCCCGGCCGGAGGGGCAGGGAAACCCCCCCCATCCCAGGGGCAGAGAGCTCTGCGGAGGGCAGGGACCCGGCGGGTGCTGAGCCGAGCCTGCATCCCCTGTGTCATCCTCCTCCTCCTCCTCCAGGTAAGGGCCGGAGCGGGGGGGGCCGCGACCCCGCGGGTATCCTGGGGTTGCGGGGTGCCTAGGGGTCGCACAGCCGCTGCGGGGGCAGCCCCGCATGGCAGGAGTGGGGGGGGAGGGAGGAGATGAGGCAGCAGGGCCACAAAAGTGCTGAACTCACCCTCCGGCGGGCACCCGGCGGGGCTGGCTACAACAACTGCTGGCAACGTGCCCCCGGGCGTCAGCCGCCCGTCCCGGCCCCACGCCACCAGCCTCCCGTGGGTGGTCGCGGGAGCAGCCGGACCCTTCTGTAGGGTGGCCCTGCCAGGACGTGCCTGTCTCTGGGAGGGCTGGGATATGGTTTTTTGGGGGGTGCCTGTGTTAGGGCGCGTCTAGGGCGAGTAACTTGCTGTTCCCTGTCGTGGGGCTGGGGTCTCCCGGGGGTGTTCAGCAGCTCTGTGGAGGGGGGGGCAGCAGCACAGCTCCTGGAGGCGGTGGTCCTGGGTGCAGTGCGTGTCCCGGGGCGTGTGTGCACGCTTGCACACGTGTGTGTGTGTGTGTGCAGGGGCTCTGCGCTCTGAGTGCACAGCAGCCGAAGCAGCGGTGCCGGCCGGGGGGCAGCACCCCGGGCTCTCCGGGGCTCCGGCCGGGGACGGCCCCGTCCCTTCGCCTGCAGCTGCCGGGGAAGCCCCTTTCCCCGCCGCTCCTCCTCTTTGGGCTCGTGGCGAAGTGGCAAAGTGGCCCACGGGCACGGAGCCGTGACCCTCTCCCTGCTCCGGGAGCTGGGAGGGATCCCGCTCTCCTGCCCCGGTGCCCTGTCCCGCAGGGGGGGTGCGGGGAGGGCAACGATGCCCCCTCGGTCCCGGGGCTGCCACAGGCGCTCGGGCTCCTCTCCTTCCCCCCTCCCCGTGTACCGGGCTGTGCATCTCCCACCAGTGGAAATTTCCGCTGGGTTTGCCTGTGCCGGGGCTGTCCCCGTCTTCCCCCGGGTCCCTGCAGCCGGTGACACCAACACCTTCGGGGGCAACCTCGGAGGGTCCGCTGGGCTCGGGCGCCTGGCTCGCTGCAGCAGCCGTGCCAGGACACTCCACCTGCCCACGGCGAGGAGAGAAACATTAAGTGATGCTGACCTAGAGAAGAGTTAGCTCCTCCTTGCCTTTGCCAAGGGCTTTTTGCCGCCGGCACAATGAGCTGCCCCCAGCCCCGCTCCTGCTGCAGCCCCCTCCACATTGAGGGTGCTGCTGGTTAAACCAGCTCCTGTGGGCAGTGGGTGGGAAGGGAGGAAGGGGAGGGGGCTGTGAAGGCACCGGTGACCACGCTGGGGATGGGGAAGGGACCTGTTGGTGATGCCACGCTGGCACCTGGGGACAATTTGCTGCCCCAGGGGAAGAGGAGGGAGATGCCGGGGTGAGGACCATCAGGTCTGGTTTTATTCATTACCGTGGGGCTTAGAACAGGCAGCACGGAGCGTGGCAGGGCCAGATGGGACCTGTTTACTCTGCGAGGGCAAATGTAAAGAGAAGTGATAAAAAGCAGCCGGGACGGCTTCTCCAGTAAGTCCCTGGTAAACAAGCCGCGGTGCCCTGGCCGGTGGGCAGCGCGGCAAACAGCAGGCGCGTTGCTGAGCATTAAGCTGGGTGCCTTGGGAACAAATGGAAGGGCTTTGGGTGAAATCCATCTTTAATGGCTCTACGTGGCTGGGCTGGGGGAGTCCCAGTCCCCAGAGCCTGGCTGGGCACTGTGGTCAGGGCAGGACCTGGCTGATGTGCTCCTGGCGGTGGCACAGCCTCTGTGGAGGAAGCCCATGTTCTGCAGGGACCCTGTGCCCCCTTGTGTGATGGGAGAACAGTTTAGGGGGCTCAGCGGGGTGCGCAGCAACCTGCACATGGGAATGAAGACCTGGAGATGGCAGGGGTAGCTGTGTGATGCCAATGGAGCGGATAAACAGCTCCTCTCTGGGGTAATGGACTTGTTTTCCTGGGATGCAGCCACGTTGCTAATGCACCTTTGTGCTTCTCGGGGGCTCCCTGCCTCACTCCAGATGTGGGGCTCAGTCCTGACGCCGCCTCCGAGGATACAGCCCTGCTCTGCTTTCAAGGATGCTCAGGAGAGGCACCCCGTGACCTGCCGAGGGCACCCTGAGCCTCCCGTTACCGATGCTCACACGAGCCGTTCCTGGGACGAAGGCCACCGGCGTGGGGGGACCAGATGGTTCCCTTGTACCTGGCCTTGTCCTTACCCCGGGCACGCTGCAGGCTGGGGCACCGGCCCACAGTGGGACACGGAGACACGGCTGTTGGGTCTCAGGCGCGTGGGGCGGGCAGGGGAGGTGCAGACCCACACCTGGAGCGGGACCCACGCGAAGGAGGGGCAGGGCTAAGGCCGACCCGAATATTTTACACGGATATTTGATGGCACAGGGTGGGGTGCTGTTAGAGAGAAGCCTTGGCTCTGGGCAATCGTTCGGGATGCCACTCCTGGCTGGTATTCCCAAGGGAAAGAGAGGTGGGCTGGTGCCCTGGCTGGAAGGTGTCCCCAGCCACCTCTCTTTCCGCTGATGAAGGATGGGATGCCAGACGCCTCCATCCCTGGGCAGTGTTTCTCACCTGGGGGCAGAGCATCGTCCCCCGAGCTGGGCTCTCCCCCTGCAGTGTCTTCCCCTCTGTGCCACTCTTCAGAGCGGCGCTGACCTTGTTGTTAATTATTAAACCCCCAGCAAACACTGCTCGCTGTTTTGTCCTAGTTACACTGTGGGCTTCTCGCTCTTCTTCGTTGTTTTTTTTTTTTTAAAACAAATTACCCTGGTAACCTCTGTGGGTGGATGGAGATGGGAGCAGCAGATGCTCCTCTCCCAGCCAGTGCAGGAGATGGAGTGGGGAGGCTCTGGAGTGGGGTGGCTCTGCTGTGGGGTGGCTGAGGGATGGGCTGGCCACCGTTCATCCTGTCTGGGAGCCCTTACCTGTCTGCCAAGGCTTGGGTGTAACTGCTGCTGTCCATGGGAGAATCCATTTCACTGCCCTGCAGTGCCAGGTTTATTCACCTGTGGAGTGGGAGAGCAATCTGGGGCCTCCTGTGGCTCCAGACCCGGTGTGCGGGTGGGCTGGGGTCCAAGCAGAGGCCTGGGTCTTTGTGGTGCTTTGTGGATTCTGCAGAGCAGCCTTCCTGGGACAGGGAGGGCTGAGACCTGCCCCCCTCTTGCAGGCTGGGTGGATGGAAGTCGTTTGTGGGCACAAGCCCCTTCCCACAGACCCTGTTCCTGAGCACCCAGTGCTGCCTCCCCTCTGCCTGCAGAGACACCATGCCTGGCCTCTACACCCTCTCCAGCTGGGACCCTCTGCCCCTGAAGAGCTCCAGGGTGAATGCTTGTGCCAATGGCTACTCCCTGAGCATCACCGCCCACCTCGTGTACACCAACCCCCGTGAGGAGCCTGTGGAAGGTAAGGGGGGGCTATCAGAGCTGGCGGGGGCCCAGGCTGCCTGTGTGGCCCCCCAAAAGCACCCAGATGAAGAACAGCCCATCTCCAGCCCAGCTGGGTGGGCTCGGTTTGGGGAGCAAAGGCAGCGGCCAGCGGTGCAGGGGCACTGCTGACACCGGCATCGCCCTGTGGGCAGGAGAAGAGCAAGACCAAGCAAAAACATTCCCATGGCTGAGGAAGAGGGGGATTTCATCCTCCTGGCCCTCCTCCAGGCTAGCGAGGCTCTGGGTCCCCTGTGCATGTTGCCCCGCTCTGGTGCATCGAGATGGCCCTGGTTGCCAGAGGGGCTCGTGGCGGTGCCGCCACGGGCTGCACCGTGCCATGGCAGTGGCCGTGCCGGGATCTGCCTCGGGGCTTTCTCCTGCCCACAGGAATCTTCATCTACCCGCTGGAGGAGTCGGAGGTGGTGGCCGGCTTCAAGGCGGCGGCGGGCAGCCGGCAGGTGACCTTCCAGGTGCAGAACCGTCACCGGGCGCAGGACTGCTGCCTGCAGAGCGGCCCTGGTCCTGGCTGCCCGCGACGCTGTGCCAGCGGTGAGTGTCGTGGCAGGGGTGGTCCTGCTGGACCCTCCTGGCTGGGGGGCCCAGAATGAGCCACAATGAAGTATGGGGGAATACGAGGGGCTGAGAACCCGTGCTGCCTTGTGGGTGTCTCTGGGGCTGGAAATCTCAGCCTCCCCTTTTCTCTCCCAGAGCTTTACCCATCCCTTTGCATGGCCCTCGTTACACCTGTGCTCTGCTGTCCCCTTAGAGAGCAATTAGTGCAACTAACAGCCCTCCCTCCCCAGCCTCTCACACCCTGCTGACACCTCCCCCCCATCCTTCCCCTTCCTAGGCCACCTTGTCCTGGATGAAGATGTGGAGTGCTCCACCTTCGTGATGGCCACGGGCCAGCTGCGCCCGGGGGAGAGCCTGGCCGTCACCCTGAGCACGGCGCAGGAGCTGCCCACGCTGCCCGAGGGGGCCCTGCGCCTCCTCCTGCCCCCCGTCCTCGCCCCCCGCGTCCCCGCCGCCCCCGAGAGCGAGCCGGCAAGCTTGTGTGACGACAGGTTGGCCCTATGGTGATTTTCACGGCTTCCTCAGTCTCTGCCGTCCCGGGGGGGGATGCTGGCGCTGCTCTCCCCTTGCAGCCCCACCAGCTGTTTCAGGGGGCCGGGTGCCCGGAGCCCACCGTCCCCCACGGTGCCTGCGGAGAACGTGGATGTCTTTCGGGGACGGCCCTGCAACCCTTTTCCATACGAGTTTGCCTTCGAGCTGCTGGTGAAGGGCCCCTGCTTGCTGGCAGGTAGCGGGGGGGCTCGGGCAGTGTCGGTGTGTTGGGCAAAACCTCCTGAAACTCAGGTGACACTCCCTGGGATGGCGTCCCCTCGGTCCCCCCAGCACCCCCTTCCCTGGGCGTCCTCTTGTGCTCCCTACTGGCAAAGAAGACTTTCCCCATCCCGCTCTGCCCTGGGGCTGGGACTCCCCAGAGTGTCCCCACGCGTGGGTTTGGGCAGCTCTGGGCCAGCAGACGCAATGGTTGGGGGGAGGACGGGTGAGGGGGGGGTTGCAGGGCGGTGGGGACATGCTCCTGGCTGCCAGCCCAGTTAATCCCATTAAGAGCTGGCAGGGAGCAGCCACTGCTGTGGCACTGGGTCTGGCACAGGCATAGTGCCTGTGGGGACTGGGGCGGGGGGTGCCGGGGGTCTACCCCACCTCCTCCTCCTCCCTGCAGGCCTGGAGAGCCCGTCCCATGCCCTGCGAGCTGACGCTGACCCTTGGGCCAGCTCTGCTGCCACCACCCGAGTGACCCTGGCCGAGCCCCACCGCTATGACAGGGACCTGGAGATCATCCTCTACCCCTGTGGTGAGCGGAGGATGGTGCCCTCGGCGGGTTTGTGGGAGATCGGGCATCATCCCGCAGCATCCGCAGAACCCCCCAGCCCCCTGCGGTATGGAGTGGCTCCAAACCCCACTGTGCCCCCCCTCCCAGAGCCCCACCACCCCGCTCTGCTGCCACCACCCGAGTGACCCTGGCCGAGCCCCACCGCTATGACAGGGACCTGGAGATCATCCTCTACCCCTGTGGTGAGCGGAGGATGGTGCCCTCGGCGGGGTTGTGGGAGATCGGGCATCATCCCGCAGCATCCGCAGAACCCCCCAGCCCCCTGCGGTATGGAGTGGCTCCAAACCCCACTGTGCCCCCCCTCCCAGAGCCCCACCACCCCCACCTGGTGATGGAGGATGGCACCATGTCATACCCCGAGTACGAGGCCCACGTCCGGAGCCGCCGGGATTACACACGGATTGCCAGGAAGGACGGCAGCGGCGAGAGACAGGTGACAAGGCACGGCCACCGCTGGCCCGGGGGGGGAGGATGAGGAGAAGGGTGGGGGGGCAGTGGGATGAGGGTGAGGAAGACCTCGATGTGGGCCAGTGGGTGCGAGCAAGCCCCCTGGCTCGCAGGTGGCTTTCGTGCAGAAGCGTTTCCACAAAGACATCTTCCCCAACCCGGTGCTGATGCTGAACTTCTGCCCGGCGGTGGAGGGTGTCCCTGGGGACCTGCAGAGCGTCACCCGCGAGATCCTCTTCCTCGTCGACCGCAGTAGCCCCGTGAGTGGCCCCGACCTCGACAAGGTCAAGGTGAGGCACGGCTGCGGGGCAGGGATGCTCCCAGGGCAGCCAGTTTGTAGCCAGCCCCTGCCCTGTCCCTGCTGTCCCCCTCAGGAGGCTCTGCTGGTGGCCCTGAAGAGCCTCCCGGCGAGGACGCTGCTCAACATTGCCAGCTTCAGCGCCGACGTTCAGCCGCTCTTCGCCTCCAGCCGTCTCTGCAGCAACGTGAGTGCCCCCGGGCAGAGCCCCCCTGGCCCCTCTCCCTCCCCCTCAGATGAGGGGATGGCGCGAGGCCATCTGTCCCTGCTGCAGGAGACGCTGCGCCGCGCCGGTGAGCACCTTGGGGGGCTGCGGGCGGAAGCAGGGGGCACCAACCTGCTGGCAGCCCTGGGCTGGGCGCTGGCGCAGCCCCTCTGCCACGGCTACCCCCGCCAGCTCTTCCTCTTCACCCACGCGGCCGCTGGCAACACCGGCAGGATCCTGCGGCTGCTGCGCCGGCAGGCCAGCACCCTCAGGTATGGCACTGCCACCGCGGCGGGGGCATGGTGCTCCACACGTCCCCTGGGCCATTCCCATCGATTCCTCCTTCCGCAGCCCCAAATCTCGCCTCCCCCAGCCCCGAGGGTGTCCTTCACCTGTTGCCTCCCCCAGCCCCACTGGCTCAGCTCCCCCTGCAGCCATGGCGGCATCTCTGGCTGTCAAACACCCCCCTCATCCCTGCTGCAGGGCTCACCCAGCCCTGGCTCTGGCTTTTCATCGCCCAGTTCCTCCTGCAGGTGTTTCAGCTTTGGCCTGGGCCCGCGGGCATGCCGGCGGCTACTGAAGGGCATGGCCAAGGTGAGCCGGGGCCGCGCTGAGTTCCTGAGCCCGGCTGAGAGGCTGCAGCCCAAGGTAACGCCTGGGTGGGGACGGGGGGGACAACGCAGGGGCCACCACCATGTCTGACGCTCTCTCCTCGCCCCACCCCAGCTGATCCAGTCTCTGAAGAAGGCAATGGAGCCGGCCGTCAGCGACATCACCATCGACTGGTACGTCCCCGACAGCATGGAGGCTCTGCTCTCGCCCACCGAGCTCCCAGCCCTCTACCCCGGTGACCGCCTCGTCAGCTACTGCGTCCTCTACAGCATCGCCCGCTTCCGCGACAGGCGCCCGCCGGTACCACCCGACCGGGGGGGGCACCTTCCTGGGGCCACCGGCTTCTTCCCGCGCTGGGGGGCTGATGCCGCTGCCCTCTCCCCCCTCCAGGGCCGGGAAGGGGCTCGCTGGGGCTCCCGGGGCTCAGCCATCCCCTCACAGGAAGAGGTGGCCAGTCCTGGGGAGAGCCGCCAGCCCCCCCGCAGCACCCCGGGGTCGGGGGACGCCTCCCTGGATGTCTCTGCCGGGGGCACAGAGGTGTCGGAGCGCAGTGAGTGGGGTGGGGGCCGGGGCCGGGGGGGGGGGG